GGGGGGGGGGGGGGAAATAGGCAGTGGCAGTAGTGCTATGCTGTATGGCCCCTACTCTAATCCCTGTTCTGCTTGTTAGGTCCCCCATAGCTCCAACAAGCCTGGCTTCCGGCTTCCGGGACTCGCTTTGTCGAAACCCAGACATTGAAAGCCCCTCCACCGCCGAGCATGAGCATGAAGTCTCGATCTTGTTAGCAAGTATCTACTAAGGGAGCTTGATCAAATGTGTTGGACTTCCCTCTTGAACCAGGAACTGTCCAAAACTACATTTTGAGTTAAACCGGGTGGTGCAAGGGTTGGTGCGTTGGGCGGGGTGTGGGCTGGGGGTGGCGGAGGATGGGCGGAAACGGTGTGTAGGCTTGGGGGGGCTGGTAGATGTCTTCGCAATGTGAAGATTCAGGTCTTGGTCGTGCGCAGGCTGCAGAGCTATCGTAACTTGGCAGCCATGAGCAACCCTGTCGGAAGCAGGGAGAAGGTTTTTGAAGCAACACTCGACTAACTTTCACATTGCGTTGCTGCAGATTACTTTTTGCGCTTGGCCGAGATCTATGCCTGACTCCCAGATCAGCTTCAGTATCAAGTCTTCTTCATTTCCGCTCCTGCGAGGTCACGGCAGCTTTTCCGATTGCATTCTATTTCACGTGCAAGACCGTGCAGAAGGCGGCGTGCATGCTTGGATGCTGCAGATCTTGTCGTGATTGGCTTGTGAAGGATGTCCAGCTCAATCGAAGTCGAAGATGTTCTAAGTGCTCTACCTCATTGGCTGTTTCGTGCCTGCCCAAAACAACCAAAACAAAGTAAATCCCAGTACTGTCAGCACTGCAGCTGCCATGCAAAACCGCCCCAAATGGAGATGAGTACTGTGCCTGCCATGCATATCCACACCAAATCAGTCCATGCACTGTGCTTGCTGCATGTATGAATGCATGCACGTGTGTGTGTGTGTGCGCGCATGTGTCTCTGTGTGTGTGTGTCTCTGTATGTGTGTATGTCAGCATGCCATTATGCATGCTTGCGTGTCCATCCGTTGGGTCCATCCATCCATCAATCCACCCATCCGCACAGACGTACACAGCCACACATGTACATGCACGCATGAATGCATACCGATACAAACAGCCAAACAGGCAGACAGGCAGGCAGGCAGACAGAGACAGAGACATCCAGGCAGCCAGGCCGCCGGGCAGGCAGACAGACAGACAGACAGAGAGAGAGAAATACATAAACACTGCTCACAATGTATGCTGCTGTAGTAGCGCCTCCGAAGAATGCCCGGAAGGTCTTCAAGCTTTCTGCGCAGCAGGCACAAGATTGGATGTACGTTGGGTCCCAAGCCTGCGCGCATCGTGCCTGAAGCGTAAACCCAAAGCCGTAACCATGTAAGGCCAACCACTGCCACTTGCGATTTTCAGGACCCAGCGGACAAGATTGTGGCACCCTTCTTGGGAAATCGTTTTGCCGCAGCCTTCTCAGCTTGACTGATTTCTTCTGAGCAGTGGCTGAACCTCGACAGGGACACTGGTCAGCCGCCGTTTTTGCAATCTTCATCCTGCAAAACCAAACTCTAATCCCCTCAGCGAACCTGCCCCAGGCCTTGGGAGGCCTCTTCGTGAAGGCAGGGCAATGGATGGCTAACATGGCAGCCACGCCCATCGTCGGCCCCTCGGATTCTCGGCAGCTGGCCTTGGTATTGCACACTGCAGTGCCGAGGTCTGGCAGCAGGAGCTGAAGAAGCTGCAGGAGTTTCGGGTTTAGGGTTTAGGGCTTGCAGATCTTGCTGATGCTCTCACAGCTGTTGGGTTTGGCATGGGTCCCTTTGCTCTGGGCGGCGACATGTAACTGGGAAGGACTGCGCCCCCAGGGACACAGACGCCTACGTGAAATCCTTGCTGGAGGCAGGAGCTCTTGAAGTCGTTTCCGCCAGTTTTCGACCACGCTGCCAAACCCTCGTCCCCCGTGCCAAAACCGAAAAACCCATACACTCTAAACCCTGAATCATAAGCCTGAGCCCAACACCCCAAAACCCTAACCTAAACCCCCAAACCCTAAACCCTAAACCCCAAACTAAACCCTAAACCCCCAAACCCTAAACCCTAAACCCTAAACCCAAAACCCTAAACCCTAAAAGCCCTAAACCCTTAAAAGCACCGGCGAGGCGGAGCTCGGCTCAGATTTCCAGGAGCACCTGGGGAAGTCTTGCCGAGGGCTTTCGAGTTGAGGAAGGGCTTCTGCAAAGGGCTTACGATGCGGTTTAGAGTTTAGGATTTAGGGTTTGAGGTTTAGGGTTTAGGGTTTAGGGTTTAGGGGTCTGGGTTTAGGGTTTAGGGTGTAGGGTTTAGGGCTTGTCAGAAGGTTTCATACAATTCAGGGCTCCTCGGAAGGGTTCTGGAAGGTGCTGCAAGGGTCTAGGGTGTGGGTCTCCTGTTCGTTGTTTCGAGTGGCGGGAGTAGCATTGACGAGTCCCCTCTCGGGGTTGATCATTGCAATGCTTCTCGGATATGAATCAGGGGATACTTTCTTAGACTCTTGCAAAAACTCGCCCCTCGCCACCGACAAGCAGACTTCTGGTCTAGGGACCCAAAAAGGATTTAGGGTTTAGGGTCCTAGTTTTTGCTTATGTGCTTTTTGGGGCCCTACCTTAAGAACCCCAAACCTACTTTTATGTATTGTGGGGTCCCTATAAATCCCATATTAGGGTTTATAATACGAACCTACAAAAAGGTGGGTTTGGGGGTTCTCAAGGTATTGTTGATAGGCATCAAGACTGGAGGCCGCTAATGTGAGCAGGCGATCAGGAGTCTCGACAGCTGGCGTTGCTATCTCTAGATCATGCCCATATAACTCCAGCCACTAATGCTGTTGAAGCTGCTCGGACCTAAACCCTAAAACCCTAAACCCCTAAACCCTAAACCCCTAAACCCCTAAGCCCCTAAACCCCTAAACCCTAAACCCCTAAACCCCTAAGCCCTGGGACCCCTGTACCAAACCCTCGGCTTCGAGACGCAGGACATCTTTGAGGAATTCGACTTCGAGCCGGTTGCGTCGGCAAGCATTGCGCAGGCGGGTAGCACCGCATGCGCAGAACAGGGAGAGCGAAATATTTATGTATATACTATATATATATATATGTGATTATGTGTGTACCAATCATATTGAAATAGCATGTGGCTTTGCGACCGGACGCATGTTCCGGCGGGAATGGTAGTTCAACGTACCGGAGTGCATGCGAATTGTCCGAATTGAGTTATCGATCGTCTAATCTATCCGGAGCCCTAAACCCTAAACCCTAAACCCTAAACCCTAAACCCTAAACTAGCAAGTGTCCTCGGATCTTGGTCTTGGTTCTGGCAGGTACACAAAGCGCGGATGAAAGGAACCGGTCAACAGGCGCAAGCCCCTACTGCAGAATCTCTGATTTTCTTTGCGCTGGACAGACAAGGTGGCTGTGAAGCTGCAACACGAAGGTGTCGAACCGCTCCGTTCTAAGTTTCCAGTCGCGAGCTGCATAGAAACCTGCTTCATGTCCCTCCCGTATACACCGAGGATGATGCTGCTGGACTTGACTGCGCTAAAGCCGGACACTTGGTAGAAGCTTGATCCATGTTGGTCTCGCAGGCCACATGAACAGAACTGATGAAACTCGGAGCTCAAGGCGCATTCTGCGATTCACCTGCTGGCTCGGAGGGAATGATTGGGATGAGATCAAGCGCGCCTGACCCGCTTGAATTTAGGTTCCGAACATGACGGCGGTATACGACTTTCGCCTGCTTCGATGCGTGCGAGATGAATGGAGCAGTTATGAAAGTTGCACCGGAGAGATGTTGCCTGCGCTGCCCAAGGGGTCCGCGGTGGACTTCCAGACAAAGCTGTCATGACCGCTTGCCCAGACAACAACACAGTGATACCCGTATAGCAACCCTTGAAGACCCTTGTCCTTGTCGTATCCTTATGATAGCCTCATCGTAACGCTGGAATACCCTGATAGTAACACATAGTAGCACATAGTAGCGGTTTCGTACCCGTCATACCCTTATGGCCTAAAATATCTTTCATACCTACCGCTGGAATGCGTCTCTGGCCAGGCAGGTCACTGAGGGCTGGATGAAAGAGATGATCCACGAGCTGGACTTCCACCGCGAGGTGCTCGTAGTAAGCGTATACGATACACTTTGAGTTACCTGTTTCTAGTAGCCCTCATAGCAACCGACTTCGTAACCCTTCTAGTCTAGCAACCCTTGTAGTAGCCCGTGATACCGTTGGAAAGTTCCAAAAATCTGTTGGAACCACGGTTGAGCGTTCATTTGGCCAGGTTGAAAACCTGCAGGAGGCAAGGCCGTGTGCACATTGAAACAAAGACCCACTCGGCACTGCCGTTCGAACTGAAAGCTGCGATGCTTCCTTGTGTTGCTGTCAAACAGGCCATTTTGCTCTTGACACTCATCGATGCACATCTTGCAAAAGTATTGAAACTTTGCATAGCAACCGTCATAGCTGCAGGTTCGCAAAGGCATGGCCGATGCCGGGGTGGACGTAATCGTGCCAAAAGAGATCGAAGGAGCCACCGTCTGTAGTCTCTCTGTCTCTCTCCCCCCCCTCTCTCTCTCTCTCTCTCTCTCTCGTTTTCCTCACGGCCTTACTGCAGCAAATGATCAGCAGGCATCTTCAGATCGATCTTTGCTCCATGGCTTCTGCCATTGCCTCTCTATTCCTTTGCTGTGGCTCTCGCAGGACGTGTGTCGAGACGAGCATTCATCATGGATTTCTGCGAGGCTTGAAGGGACATGCCTCTCCGGCTCCGATCTCCAGTCCGAGACCTCGGAAACTTAATCCTGAAGCCTACTATGAGACTAAGTTTCCAGCTTCCGAAACAGAACCCAAAATCCACCGGAAGCCTACCACTACGGGGGTCGGAATAGACATAGCATAATAATCAGGACGAAACCCCTACTCTAAATATTACAGCCTTTATATCAGGCCGAAACCTCATTCATGTCTACACCTCGGACGCTCGAAGCCCTCGCAAGGGCTTCCGCTTTACCGACCTGGATCAGCTGGCACTGGCCGGAGTGGACCGCAAGGCCTTAAGTGCCCGGGAACCCAGGCTGTTTACGCTGAAGTATGGCTATGCCGCAGCATTTTGGTACTGGTAACATATAAGTATGGGAATAGTATCTACCAACCTCTCTATCTACCTACCCAGCTACCTAGCTACCTAGCTACCTAGCTACCTAGCTAGCTACCTACCTACCTACCTACCTACCTACCTACCTACCTACCTATCTGTCTATCTATATATCTATCTATAGATCTATCTATCCATATATGTATCTATCTACCTACCTTTTTACTTATATCTGTCTATCTATCCATCTATCTATCTATCTACCTACCTTTTTACTTATATCTGTCTATCTATCTATCTATCTATTTATCTATCTATCTATCTATCTATCTATCTATCTATCTAGCTACTTTTTGTTACTAATATCTGTCTATCTATCTATCTATCTATCTGTCTGTCTATCTATCTATCTATCTATCTATCTATCTATCTCGGCCATAATCTATGCATGCACAACCACACACACACACACACGCTTGTACACACAATGGTCTTAGAGTGGTACCACATACATATCTATATATATATATATATGTCTGTGTGTATACGCACATATGGGTCCTTCTGTGCGCATGCATGTTTATCTATACTTATGTAAATATGTATATACATATATATGTATATATATATATAGATATATACACATGTATATATATATAGATATCTACATTTGTATACATACATTTTGAATACATATATATATATATACATGCGTGTGTACATGTATGTGTGTATATAGGTATGCATATACATATAGCAGCTCGCATATATCTATATATATATATATATACATATTCACATATCTTATTATGCATATATGTGTACGTATATGTACATGTTGATATGTGTATGTATACATACAAGTACTGTAAATGTATATGTATATATTTATTTATATGTAGGTGCATGTGTACGTGTACACGCCTATGAGCTGTACATGCATACATATATATATATATATACATATAAATATATATATATATATATGAATTTATTTATGTATGTATGTGTGTATGTATGTATGTATGTATGTATGGATGTATGTATGTATGTATGTATGTTTACATGTAGATGTATGCGTGTATATGTGTGTGTGTGCTTGTTGAATCACATATCTGTATATGCATATCTATATGTACATGTATAATGATATGTATGTAACAGCAAGAGTCGATAACTTGCCTACATATCATTGGACCTGTTTTATGCAATCGTTTCATGATTCAGGTTGTATAGCCATTCCATGCAAATGCATGTGTAGGACGTTGCTGTGCAGATGTTTAAGTATTTTCTTAGCTAGCACACTATTCTCTGGGCTTAAGATCGGGCTCCCTCTTCCGTCCGAAGAACGGCTGAAGTTTGCACCGGAATAGACTATGATTCGAACACCTTTGGGGTTTTGTGTTGTGGGCTGTTTCTTGTGACTTCACATCTGCGTGTTATATAGCTTGATGTATAGTACTGCTTATGCCAAGACAGCGGTTCTGGATACCGGCTTTGCAGGTCACATGTGAACATCTTTGTGGGTGCACTCCGCGATGCAGTGGCACAGGCATGCATATGCATACATCTGTGTTTGCACAAACCGCAGCGCACACAGCCCACGACAAAGGCTGCTTTGAGCAGCATAAACTTGTGCTATAACATGTTACTGTAAACTTGGCACATGCTGGCGGCGACATTGCCTAGCATTCGCACATGTGCAGGTGCACAAGGCCCTAACTAAATCCAAAAGTCCTAAAGCCCACAAGCCCTAAACATCCCTACAGCAACAGCCCGACCTCTGCAAGCGAGGCACGGGCAGTTCACGCAGTTGCCACCCAGCTCTTGGAGATCGGCGTCTTCAACTCGGACCCGTCGAGACCTCGGCTCTGCTCCAGGGCTGACATCCTACTGTAGCATGCCAGGCCCTCGCCCAAGCCCGAAGGCCTCCCCTCGACCTTCGGGCTTGGGTTCGGGTTATGTAAAGTCATACAGATGCATATATATATATATATATGTATAGACACACACACACACGTAGGCATGTGTGCAATGTATGTGTGTATATATATATATATAATACGCAGACACATAAACAAGACTATACGGTTTGGAGTACCCGAGCCCTGCCGCAGAGGCATGGAGGCAATCTTCTTTGCCAAGTCCGGGATGGCACGACTGCCGCAGCGGCCTCAAGCAAGCATTGAGAGCCTTCCTTCAAGCTTCACGGGCTTGGAGCTCTGGTTTAGGGCAAAATCGGGTTTGAGGCCCTAAACCCTAAACCCTAAACCCTGGCTTAGGGCCAAAATAGGGTTTAGGGACATTTCCTTTGCCAATTTCAGGAGTCTGAGCTTCTGAAACTTTCGGGTCTTCCCCTCCGGGACCAGACCCCTCCGCCATGTCAGGCTGACGATGTTAAAAGTTGTTTGCCACTGCAGGGTTTAGGGTTTAGGGTTCAGGGACCTGAAACTCCTTTTTTTCCCGGAAGATCATGCAGGATCTGTGTAAAACAGAGCCAACCTAAGCCTTACCGGGAGTTTGCCTTCAACAGTTTTCGCTTCAGCGCTGCTTGGGCTCCTACTGGAGGTCCCTGTTCTTCTGGACTTCGGGAACTGCATTCGTCTTCCTGAGGAGCAGCGCGCCTCTGGCATTGGCTTGGTTTAGGGTTTTTGGGTTTAGGGTTTTAGGGTTTTGGGTTTAGGGTTTTTGGGGCTTGGCTGCTTGATGCCCTTGGGTTGCACGACTCTTAAGCCACGAAGCGGTGCTGCCAGGTCTCCTCTACTGCCGGTTGCTAGTGGCCTTGTCTGAGACCAGTATGACCAGCGTCTGTGAGGCGGGTGGGTGGGGTGGGTTTCTTAGAGGATAGAAGGTCTAATATAGGGGCTTAAATAATTACCTATACTATTTTGGTGGTTGCTTATAAATTATAATATAATATACACCAAAACCCGATTCTAATTATTAAGGCCCCTACATTATAGGGTTCTCGATCGGTTTACGGTTGAGGCGGGTTTCGAGAGGTTTCTTGTCCAGGGCTTTTGGGGACGGCAGGTTGTCGTGTTGGTAGGCACGGGCTTCGGATTCTGGGGTTGGGGTCTGGACTAGGGGTGCTTTCGAACTCCAGGGTTTGGGGTTTATGCTGTGAGCCAGGTTTCTGTTCGGTTTGCTCCTGGATGCAGAGCCTTGGCGACAAAACACACCAGACAAGATTCCCAGCATGTTGCATCGCCGTTTCCCAACACGGCTTGTGCAAGAGGCCATGAAGAACTTGGGCTTCTTCAACTCGCAGACCGAGGTTCCCTGATGAGCAGCTTTCTGGAGCTTACTTGTGGGGTTCGCCTGTGCTTCGAAACCCATGACAGCGGATCTTGCCCTCACCATGACATGGCAAGAAGGCTGTTTGCTTGAGGCCCTTGGGGCATTGTCGACAAGAGTTAAAGAAGACGTAATATAGGGGCCTAAACAGTTACCTGCTAGGTCCATAGCACGGATTTGCGCTGCTAGTGTCGTTGAGCCAGGCGTTCATGAGTGTTTTGCATGTTGGCCGCAGGTCCACCCCGGGCGAGACATGGAGTACATGATGCACCCCGGCAGCAATAGCTACGAGAAGTGGGAGGTTTAGGGCAATCTGACAAAATGTAACAGACGCGGCAACACGACATTCGTCCCTGCTTGCTAGGAACATGCACCATTTGCGCAGCCTCCACTATCAATATGACCCCCTTCCCCCCAGAGTTATGGACGCCGCGCTAGAACGTGGAGGTCTTGAAGCCTTTTCCAGCGCCTGCATAATCAGTACACCCATTCCTTAGGGGCACCCAATTCTTCAACCCCCAACCTCAGCCGGTCCCCTGCGTCTTCCAGCCCTGGCGCATGATGTTTAGAGAGTCTTCATTTAAACTGCCTCAAACCCTACACGGCCCAAACGACATAGTCCAACCCCCTCACAGACTCCTTTTAAAGCAAAAACCACCCCGTCCCCGCTGGGCTTCGAGGATGGTCTTCCGCGACACCGGCAATCGCAAGCATCAGCCGCACGCCGAAAGGGTATGACGAACTTAGCTTTAAAGGTTTTAACCTCGGTGTATGTGTTTTGGAGGTTGGCGTTAAGGCTTTACAGGTGAGGCATCGGTTTCTGCAGGTTCAGCATGGTTCTGGAGGTATTTGCGGGGCTTGGAACGATTTTGCAAGACTTGCAGAAGCCCAAAATCACAAGGATGCTACATAAATCTGTCTTTCTACGCTACCTACCTACATACCTACCGACCTACCCACCTACCTACCTACCTACCTACCTACCTACCTACCTACCCACCTACCTACCTACCTGCCTACCCATCTACCAAACCCCAACAGCCCTCAACCCTAAAGCCCGAACACAACGCGTTAGAAGACCTCAAGGCCTGCAGCGTAAAGCCCTGGAAGCGCTTAAGCGTGAAAGCCGTAGACTGGCTTGAGAAAACAGGAGAAAGCCTTGAAAAGTTCTGAAACGCTTGCCAAAGCCGTAACGCCTTCAACTTAAAAGCCTGCAAAAGCATTCAAAAGGCCGGCTTAAACTGCTTTCAACTTCCTGGAAAGCCCCTAGGATGGCCGGGATGAAGAACTTCAGGGAGCTCCGGAAGTCTCAAAACAAGTCGGACATCGAGGCAGTCTTTTAGTCCCTTTTGGCTTCTGGTGTGCGTGTGTGTAACTGAACAACACCAAAGCCCGAAACCCCACACCGCGAACCCCAACCCCGACACCTCCCAACCCAGAAACCCCTTCATGTCCACAACCCCCCAGTTGAATAGCCATCCAATATCATGACCTCCAGACTGACTTGCGAGATTTGGCAGTTGAGTTGCACGGTGCTGCTCAAAGTGGTCGTCTCCGCCTCTCACCAGTAGCTAACATATAAGCGCATTGAGACGATGCCGAACCACCGGGGTCGACACTGCCGCAATATATATATATATATATGTTGTATTTGAACTTGTATATACACCTACACTCATATTTGTTGAGTGTCTTTATGAACGAATGAATGCACGCATCAATGAATGAGTGTGTGTGAGAGTGAATGAATGAATTAGTGAATGAATGACTGGACTGAGTGAGTGAGTGCATGAATGAATGAATGAATGAATGAATGAATGAATGAATGAATGAATGACATGGAATGAAAGACATGGAATGAAAGACATGGAATGAAAGACATGGAATGGCATGAATGAACGGGTTCATGGTTGCATGGATGAATGAATGAATGAATGAATGAATGAATGAATGAATGAATGAATGAATGGCCGGCATTAAAAGTTGAAGTTGAATGGGATGCAATACAATGGAATGGAAAGGCGTGGATTGTAATGGAATGGACTGGCAGAACAACAGAATGAAATAATGTGTAGTGTGTGTATACATATATGTATATATGTGAATGTGTCGTATCTTAAAGTAACTCTTGGACTCATGTAAGTGCAAGTGTATGTGTAAGTAGAAGTAGAAGTAAGTAAGTAAGTAAGTACGTAGGTAAGTAAGTAAGTAAGTAAGTAAGTAAGTAAATAAGTCAGTAAGCAGGTAAGTAAGCAAGTAAGTCAGTAAGTCCGTTAGTAAGAAAGCAAGTTAGTAGGTAAGTGGTTTGTAACTAAGTAGGTAAGTTCATATGTATTTTTGTACGTACGTACGTATGTATGCATGTATGCATGTATCCATGGAAGCATGTAGGCTCATATGCATGCATGTAAGGAGGTATGCATACATGTATGTATGCATTCATGTCTGTCTGTCTGTCTGTCTGTCTGTCTGTCTGTCTGTCTGTCTGTCTATCTGTCAGTCTGTCTGTGTGTCGTTGTGTTTGTGTGGTTGTACCTTTGTTTGTTTGTTCCCGTGTTTGTTTGCTTGCTTGCTTTGTATGTATATGGTACATGCATGTATACATACATACCTACATACATACGTATATACATACCTACGTACATGCTTGCAGCCAAACAGATAGACATGCATGCTTACATACAGTTACATACACATACACACATATATGTATGTGGTTTTCTACACGAAGGTTTTTCTACTTAGGGCCCTTAGCCTTGAGTTCCATGGCAATGAGATGCTGTAAGTCCTCGATTGCTGTGTCCTGGGCTTGCTGTGCCCAAAGTGCCAGGCGGCACCGAAGCACCGCATGGCAAGACTCCAATGTGAAGCACGGCCAGGATCTTCATCGCGGGGAGGCGTTCTACAACAGTGTTGTTAGAGCCGAGGTTCCTGCAATCAGTGGAATAACACCCAAGTCTAACCAGATGACGTTCATGGAAAATGGAATGGCCTGGGGAGGCTTCATGCAACAGCCAAGGGCAGCTACTCCTCCGTCACCCGCGCCCATCAGCAATGATGTGCGACTCGTCATCGAGAACATGTTTCACCTGCGGTGCATGAACCCTATGCAGGCCGAAAGGATCCTGAGGCGTACAGCCGACCTGCAAGGGCCCTACTACGATTGAAGAGCGGCGAGCTCTTGCTTGGATGTGGAAACATTTTAGAGGTGCTATTGTTTTGAACAGTAATTCAACGGAGCGGTTTGAAAATAAACTGATTCCCGGAACCTTCCGCCCGAACGGGCAATGCACGGTGCTGTCGAAGGAGCGTTTTGCAAGCCTGCTAAAAGTTTGGCATGCTTTTCCCACAACTTGGAACCTCCCGTCGATTGCTGTCTGCGCTGCAAATACCTGTGCTGCTTTCCAGGTTGCTTGGGTGTTGCTCAATGGTAGGTTGTCGTGTCAGCCGCCCAGGGATAGCGCATGAGGAAAATAACGAAGGTTTGGGTTCGGGTTTAGGGTTTCGTATCCCCTTCTCGTCCCAGTGCAATTATGGTAAATTTTGCCTCGAAACCCTATTCGAGTCACTAAGGCCTCACACGTGTGGGCATTGGCGCGTTTAGGGTTGGGGGAAGAGCGTCCCTCCATGAAAAGGCTCAACAAAGTACTTGCTATATTCTGGAGGCCTTGCCGGGCTGCCAGAATGGTGGTCACAAGGATAGCTTAGTTCTGATGCCCCAAGACGAGCCTTCAAGCTTGCTGATTTTTTGGGGTGAAGCTTTAGGGCTCTTATTCCCAGAGACTCCAATATCCCTTAATTAAGGAATATACCCTAAATTATAGTAGGGACCCCTAATATGATTTAAGGTATATTCCTTAATTAAGGGATATTGGAGTCTCTGGGTTCCTAAACCCATGATCTGGCGTTGGAAGCTCCGCCGTTGCCGCAGGCCCTGGATGACAACATCAAGAAGGACAAGAAGAAAGCCAAGGCCGCCGATTCGAACAAGAGCCAAGACGCGCATGTGTTGTGTGTTGTGTGTTGTGT